ATGTTAACGTCCAAGTCGAGTGGCAAGTCTCTTTACATTTTGTCAAGTCGAGTCTAAAGTCATCAAATTGATGACTCGAGTCTGACTCGAGTCCGAGTCATGCGACTCGAGTCCACACCTCTGTTGAGTCGCATTCTTGGGTGGCATGAAGAAAGTGAATTGCTTTCTTAATTGTTTTAAGAAGGTTAGTGCAAAATAAAAGAAATACATGTCCTTTACGTCTTACGTTTTAGTATTTTTATGACTTTTTTTTTTTTGCTTACATTAGCAACGAAAAACTCACTAAACAAGATTTACATTGACTTAAGTTTAACATCGGTATAACAGACAAAACATATGCTACTATATAGAACTAGTCTGACTTGTGTTGTTCCAAAGAAAAATATGCATAAATAGTACATATTTAAATAGAAATGTGTACATAAATACATTCGGAATGTATTTTAATGGTGTGTTACATTTTTTAAATTTTATTAATTTTATGAATTTTTTTTTGCAAAAATGGGGGTCCAAGCAGTGATCTTCTTGTTGTAAGGCATTAGCACTTTTCATTCTACCCTTTTGTGGCCTTTCGTGTGAGGATAACTTTTAGGATATTTGACCTTTTTTTTTTAAGGCCATAAATCAGTAGATACATGATGAGGCCTGTTGAAGGTAGAGCTAATGATTCTAGTTGTTTGGAAGGGTTGAGATTGCGATTCATCACTGTTAATGTTCTTCGGCCGAGGCGGGGGAAGGTAGAATAAGACAGTTCATCACTCATTTGTCTCTCTTACCCGGGCTCTTTGTCTCTCTGCTCTCTGTCAGCTGATAGACGAATTACTTTTTTTTTTACAGACTGTGCATGTTTGTGTTCACATGTTGCACTTAAATTTTGTTGCGTTGTTTTTTTTTTTTTTTTTACAAATTCATTATTTATTTTGACTCCTGTTGGTATTAACACACTAATCTAATCTAGGCTGAAAGTGATTCCATTTTGACCTTTAAAGATGACTTTAGCTGGAATCATATACAGATGTCCTGAACGTTGATTAAAAAAAATGATAATCTATTGGACGTCAAATGTTTAATTTTATTGAATTTTATCTAAATCTTAGCTTGACTCAAACTTCCTGTGACTCTTTTCTTTGTCCGTCAAAACTCTTTAATTGGTAAAGAGTTTTTTGGGTCCATTTCGCCTTTTTTTTTTAATTGTCTTATCTGCTTTTAATTTACACTGTATTCTGTCTAGACTTGGCTATTCTCTCATTCTGTCGCTCTGAGCCCTGAAAAGACACGGCCCTGGCTTTTGTCCCCAGTGAGATACTGTACTTCCTGTCTCTTGATGCCGTGTTTGCTTTTCTGACCCCTCTCCCAGAAAGCTGTTGTTGTCCACTGCTGTTTTTTTTAGCATCCATGCCTCTGCCTCTCTTCTACCATAAAAGTTTTATCACCCAACCATACTCCCATCCTCACTGAGATCCTACAGAAAACTACATTAAAAAAGAAATGGCAGATAGTGGCGTAACTCGCCCGGCGTTGCCTCCCTGTCTTGGTGAAAGTGTGATCGCCTTCTGTCATCAAATGCTCCGATGCAGCTTGCAATTTAACTAGCGGTTATTCATTATGGCTATTAAGGCTATAGTAAGGCATGTTTT